AGGTAGGGTGGGGTGGTGAGTGTGTGTATGGTTGTGTGGTTGTGTAAAGGTGTTTAAGGTAGGGTGGGGTGTTGAGTGTGTGTGTGGTTGTGTGGTTGTGTAAAGGTGTTTAAGGTAGGGTGGGGTGGTGAGTGTGTGTATGGTTGTGTGGTTGTGTAAAGGTGTTTAAGGTAGGGTGGGGTGGTGAGTGTGTGTATGGTTGTGTGGTTGTGTAAAGGTGTTTAAGGTAGGGTGGGGTGTTGAGTGTGTGTATGGTTGTGTGGTTGTGTAAAGGTGTTTAAGGTAGGGTGGGGTGGTGAGTGTGTGTGTGGTTGTGTGGTTGTGTAAAGGTGTTTAAGGTAGGGTGGGGTGTTGAGTGTGTGTGTGGTTGTGTGGTTGTGTTAAGGTGTTTAAGGTAGGGTGGGGTGTTGAGTGTGTGTGTGGTTGTGTGGTTGTGTAAAGGTGTTTAAGGTAGGGTGGGGTGTTGAGTGTGTGTGTGGTTGTGTGGTTGTGTAAAGGTGTTTAAGGTAGGGTGGGGTGGTGAGTGTGTGTGTGGTTGTGTGGTTGTGTAAAGGTGTTTAAGGTAGGGTGGGGTGTTGAGTGTGTGTGTGGTTGTGTGGTTGTGTAAAGGTGTTTAAGGTAGGGTGGGGTGTTGAGTGTGTGTGTGGTTGTGTGGTTGTGTAAAGGTGTTTAAGGTAGGGTGGGGTGTTGAGTGTGTGTGTGGTTGTGTGGTTGTGTAAAGGTGTTTAAGGTAGGGTGGGGTGTTGAGTATGTGTGTGGTTGTGTGGTTGTGTAAAGGTGTTTAAGGTGGCGTGGGGTGGTGAGTGTGTGTATGGTTGTGTGGTTGTGTAAAGGTGTTTAAGGTAGGGTGGGGTGGTGAGTGTGTGTATGGTTGTGTGGTTGTGTAAAGGTGTTTAAGGTAGGGTGGGGTGGTGAGTGTGTGTATGGTTGTGTGGTTGTGTAAAGGTGTTTAAGGTAGGGTGGGGTGGTGAGTGTGTGTATGGTTGTGTGGTTGTGTAAAGGTGTTTAAGGTAGGGTGGGGTGGTGAGTGTGTGTATGGTTGTGTGGTTGTGTAAAGGTGTTTAAGGTAGGGTGGGGTGGTGAGTGTGTGTGTGGTTGTGTGGTTGTGTAAAGGTGTTTAAGGTAGGGTGGGGTGGTGAGTGTGTGTGTGGTTGTGTGGTTGTGTAAAGGTGTTTAAGGTAGGGTGGGGTGGTGAGTGTGTGTATGGTTGTGTGGTTGTGTAAAGGTGTTTAAGGTAGGGTGGGGTGTTGAGTGTGTGTGTGGTTGTGTGGTTGTGTAAAGGTGTTTAAGGTAGGGTGGGGTGGTGAGTGTGTGTATGGTTGTGTGGTTGTGTAAAGGTGTTTAAGGTAGGGTGGGGTGGTGAGTGTGTGTATGGTTGTGTGGTTGTGTAAAGGTGTTTAAGGTAGGGTGGGGTGTTGAGTGTGTGTGTGGTTGTGTGGTTGTGTAAAGGTGTTTAAGGTAGGGTGGGGTGGTGAGTGTGTGTATGGTTGTGTGGTTGTGTAAAGGTGTTTAAGGTAGGGTGGGGTGTTGAGTGTGTGTGTGGTTGTGTGGTTGTGTAAAGGTGTTTAAGGTAGGGTGGGGTGTTGAGTGTGTGTGGTTGTGTGGTTGTGTAAAGGTGTTTAAGGTAGGGTGGGATGTTGAGTGTGTGTGTGGTTGTGTAAAGGTGTTTAAGGTAGGGTGGGGTGTTGAGTGTGTGTCTGGTTGTGTGGTTGTGTAAAGGTGTTTAAGGTAGGGTGGGGTGTTGAGTGTGTGTGTGGTTGTGTGGTTGTGTAAAGGTGTTTAAGGTAGGGTGGGGTGTTGAGTGTGTGTGTGGTTGTGTGGTTGTGTAAAGGTGTTTAAGGTAGGGTGGGGTGGTGAGTGTGTGTGTGGTTGTGTGGTTGTGTAAAGGTGTTTAAGGTAGGGTGGGGTGTTGAGTGTGTGTGTGGTGTGTGGTTGTGTAAAGGTGTTTAAGGTAGGGTGGGGTGTTGAGTGTGTGTGTGGTTGTGTGGTTGTGTAAAGGTGTTTAAGGTAGGGTGGGTTGGTGAGTGTGTGTGTGGTTGTGTGGTTGTGTAAAGGTGTTTAAGGTAGGGTGGGGTGGTGAGTGTGTGTGTGGTTGTGTGGTTGTGTAAAGGTGTTTAAGGTAGGGTGGGGTGGTGAGTGTGTGTGTGGTTGTGTGGTTGTGTAAAGGTGTTTAAGGTAGGGTGGGGTGGTGAGTGTGTGTGGTTGTGTGGTTGTGTAAAGGTGTTTAAGGTAGGGTGGGGTGTTGAGTGTGTGTGTGAGTGTATTTATATCTTCATTTTCATGTAATAAACTTTTAACTTATCCTGACATCATCTCAGTTGTAACAGTGATTCACCAATATACATTATATAATCATTTGGATCAAGAGGTCTAACCCTATTTATTATAAATCTATCTCTCAAGTGTCTTCTAGTCATTCCTGTCAGGTATCTTCAATGAGATAGGAGACACTTACTCTCCCCGGAACACCTAACTAGCCCAGATATCCTGAAACAATCCTAAACTTAGTTTTTTTTCTCAGCAGATAACAAATGAAATTTCTTTTTCCTGACGTTATGTGTGATTGCATTAGCCAAAACTTCAGACATCTTTAGACTTAGAGTTGTTTCTGAGGCGAATCTTCCTTTTTCTGGAGCGTCGGTGTTCCTACTTTGTCTTTGTTTTATTATATTTCTGTTTCGATAATGATTTTATTGATATGTTGCTGTTTCCTTGTTACTTTTAGATTCAATCTAATATTTCACATTCCGCAAACAGAAGTCATAATGTTACTTGAACACGTTTCATTTTCATGGGCAATCAAATTTAAAGTAATTTACCATCAACAATTTGGTTGGTGCATGGAACCTTGAGATCAATGAATAGGTTGACAGGTTTCTCCTTCTATTACTGTAAACCTATCTTCTGTATCAGGGTAATCAAAGTTAATTACGTTAACAAAGTGACGTTAACCTTCCTGCTTCGTGACACAAGTAGAATAATGAACATATACCCGTTATTCGTTAACAATTATCTCTCCGAAAACTCTCAGCTATTCAGTTATAACAAATCCTGTATTGAAGATACCGTCAAGGCTACTACTGCAGTACAAATTTCAACTGGTCTCACTCATCCTTGTGTTTTAATAGCACGGCTTGCATATTGACTGTGTCTGTACAATGATAACTTTTCTCAGACACAATGTGACGGAAAAAAGAGACACAACTGCAAAGGCTGATAAATGAGACGTATTTTAATACTTTCTATATATATATATAAGATAGATATGAATGCACAACCGATCAATACCGCCCATGATTATAGATCTAGACAGTCCCGGAGTAGCACGAGTCCTATAACGGTCACATTTAAGTGTCTATACGGGTTAAGTGCGCAGCTGTGTCGGTATAGGTCGCCAATATCAACATCTCAGTACTGAAGAAGAGTGCTGGGTTTAACAATGTTTAGTGGTAGTTGTAATACTCTGGAGTAACACATTTTCGGGATAAGAATTGAGAAAAAACTTGAGAGATGATGCCAATATCAGGAATGCCAGGAACGAGAAACCAACATATATCATTGACATGCTTAGGGTGTTTTCAGATCAAATATAGTAAGAAAAATTTTAATATCTTTATTGTAATAAGAACCGAAAAAGCATTGTCAAGGATTATTCGCACGCCATGTCTTGCCAATAACGAAAATGAATTGCACCATACAACTCATACAGTACTTCTTTCTGTTGCAGATATTTTCCTCAGTGACACCTCCTTGTAAAGATGTATAAACAAATTTGGATTTCTTACCTGGAAATATTCACATCACGCTATTCCGGGACGTTGTAAATAAGAAGAGGTAACCCGTTTTTCCGATATCTGTGTTCCGTGACCCATAACTTAATACATTTCCTTATTGTTGTCCAAATTACACGCGCAGCAATTGTGGCAATTGCCATAATAGAAAATCTGGAAATAAGGTAATTTGATAATGACGAAAGTACACGTGGAGTGTGACTTAATTAGTAGTGTGATGAAGTCATGTTTTGTACTGTGTCATATACAATGGAATCACCCTAGCCAGCAGAGTTCTAGCTTTGACTGTACACTGTGATTGGGGTTTCCACGAGAATTAGGTGTTGCTACATAAGCATGTCTATATATATGTCCTTTACATAAAGCGCACCACCCTGTCAGACCTATATAGCAGCTCTGTGTTTTGCTGGAGACAACACACACATCAAGAAGACACTATAGATTACTGGACGACTGGAGTAAAATTTCCCTGTGGTATTGTTTCATTTTAGAATGAACATTGCAGTAGAGTGTAATTGTGTAGATCGCGGCAGATAACACACGGCCACGCCACGAGACGAAGTAGGCGGGGTGATCCTTAAAGAATACATTCAGATTTTAATCTTCAAAAGGTGGTATTTTACCTGTGATGCTGTGTTCTACGAGAGACTGACGTCAGCGAGGTGAATGAGCCTTTAATAGGTTGACGTGCCGCTGTTGTTGTTTTTTGTATTCTGGAATACAGAACTTTTTAAGTGTAGTCTTAATAGGAGGTGAACGCACTGGAACTAAGAGTGTATGTTATGAAACGTCTTTAAAGATTCTCTGCCGTTTGGGAGTCTTCGTTTTCATATATCGATACTATTTCCAAATTTGTGTCGCCCGCACTTGGATTTGTACCAGGACAAAATCAATTTGGAACGTAGGTTTGACACGGAGGGCAAATTTGCTTTGGGATATACTGGCAGGAGAGATCTGGTGCTGAACGAATGAGAACTCTGGTTACAAATACAATTTATGTTGATAAGTATTTTTTTTTAGAACAGAACATATGGTCAATGTCGGTAAAGTTAACAAATAAGATAAATCTTGAGCGGATGACAAATTTTACCGGTTGCACTTGCTGGTATAGATAAACGTGCACGTGAATTACACGTGAGATCTACTAACACTCTGTATGATTAGAACGAATGTGTTCGTTTATTTACCATTTAACGCGGACAAACATCAATGACCACTGATGACAACTCCTCCACATATCGTCATCACTCGGACATCAACTGGACAGTCAATGTATGGGGAGTTCCCGACTGGTCAATCGTGTCCGGGCACTGGACACTAGCGTGGCTCTGTTACGTCTATGTTTTCTGCATGGTGTACCTTATCATCCTAGGATTCGACCTTGTCCTGTATGCCAAGTTTCAGCGCCGTCTAGCTAGACAACGTCTGCTTAGTACTCTTCTGTGTTACGTCACCGTCTGTAACCTTCTTCTATTTGGCTTTCATGTCGTGGATCCGTATGGTTATTACGGCAGAATACCAAAAATAGTAACACGTGTTGTTTGGAAACTTCCATATCCGGTGTTATCAGGCACTTTCTGTCTACTGCAGATGGTTATTATGAAGCTCACTAGACTTGATATACCTTCCATCCAACTGAACGGATACTGTTTCCTGATGTTTGCTACCGGTATCTACATAGCGGAAATCGTCACAATAGAAACGCTCATTTGTCTATCGACGATACCTGTCAAATTGTCATTTATAACAGACGCTATCTATGTAGTTTATGCTGTTTATCTAAGCTTTTGTTTTGTATATGGAGCACCTAAAATAGCTCGATACGCCAGGGAAGCTCAGCGAGCCAAGAAGGAATTGAGTAGTCACAGTCTGACTAAAATTGATAAGAAAATAACCGAAGACGGGCGAAATAAACCGAGAATTAATTACCCAAGGATACGCACCAATCAGTCAGGGAATCGAATATCGTTGCTTAGTGATGATTCGTCAGGATCCGACAACAAACATGAATCATCATTTATTGAAAAGAAAATGGCGATTAGGCGAGAAAAGACGGCTGCATTCGCTGCCTGGTATAAAAACACATTCTCTAAAGATAGACCGAATTATGACAAACGTACTTGGAGGTCTCAAAAAAATACGTTTTATACGGATAAGATAAAAATCAAAACTTATAATTCGTCTGGTTCTCTGGATGGAAGTATGACACTTCATGACTATAGTTCTCTAAATGATGATAGTGGTAATGAGAGATCCAGTTGTACCCTTCCACATTCCTCTTCGTATGACCTAATCGCAAGCACGCACACAACAAATAAAACGTCATTCCGAAATAGGGCTTGTAGAGAGCGTCATTCCTCCGAAAAATTACGTAGACAATCAAGGGTTTCCCCGAATGACGAGGAACATAGTGTACCGATATTGCTGAATCCGTCGATATTAATGACTAACGAAACAAAAATATTTGAGAGTGGTTACGTAGCGGATGTGGAGCGTGTAAGTCTATACTCGGAAGACGAGGAACAATATAAATGTAAGGCCAACAGACGACGTCGGAAACTGGATGAATTTGTACCGGAAGTGACGTTACCAAACTCCTCATCTTTTCTGAGTTTTCAGCGCTTGCGACAAGGACGAATGCTCAACGAACTCGTCCGTTGTACGTACGCACTGACTGCGTTTGTGATGCTGAGTTGTATTGGAAGTATTTACGCTATACTAAACCTAACCAGTCGTGGATTCCAGTATTCTCCAGTAGCCCACCCAGTGTCTTGGTTAATCATCAATTTCTTTCAAAGGTAAATTTCATTTAGATTATAGTGAGAATTTATTTTCACAGATATGAACGCATAGAAGGACAAACCACAATATGTCGCCATCAGTGATAGCTTTAAAATAGGTCTACGATCAATTAGATGTAACATAAAAATAAATCGCAATTTCAAATTAAGTCAAAAATCTAGATATATGATCAAATATTGATCAACCAAGATATGTATAGCCAAAAAAAGTTTCAGGAGTACGTGTTGATATCTTCCAACAAATTATCACATCATGGCATCTGACAAGTTTCCAATAAAACATTTTCAATCATTCGAAAATAACACGTGATAAGCTTTAACAAAAGTTCATATCTCTATTTGATATATATATTGTGTCTAGTATCGATTGATTATTGATTTTGACGGGGTGGGACTTACTCTGGTATGGCGTTGTCCGTCGTAGTCTTATTTGTTCGAAGATCTTCTCTGTGTTTTCCAATGATTTCTTCCAAACTCGGTAGAATGAATCACCATGACATGGTGTTGTGTTTTACTGAACGGCAGCTTGATTACACTATATCTGTGCAATTTACCGCTCCTTCATCTGTTCATGGTGTTCATCCTGTTCGAAGATCATCTCTTTCAATTTTCAAACTAAGATCATTGTGACATCATGTTTTCCTACACAGTAGTTTGATCCAACACTTTAAAAGAAGTTCATGCCCTTTGTCTTTTTAGTACATTAATTTTGTTTCGAGATTCCTTTCCACAGTTTGTCATCACTTCCTCTGATGCTTGGTAGTCTTTGTACTATTACAGGGGATGTGTTTGCCTTACGGACATTGTGATATAAGATTTTGGAAAGATTTGTTGCCCATTTTTCAACCTTTGTACCATGTTGAGATTGTGTTTCGTATCTATTGATTATTTCTTTTAAAGGTGCTACTTACTGTTGTGGGTTTTTTTTTTTTTTGTTTTTTTGTTTTTTTTTGTTTTTTTCATTTTTCTTTACAATTCTTTCAAAGTACATATATATATTGTACGTTCGATGAACACATTTCTCTTACTTGTAAAAAGAGTATTTGTCATACAACTAATAAATCATGCCAATTCCCAACTACGCTAGCTTCCCATATCTCCGGCTTGATTATATTTGTATATAGCATATAGCCAATATTTTAGCAGAAAAAAATACTACTTCAACACAAAATTACAACCATTTACCACCCCACCAACTTTATACACCAACCTTACAGCACTAGAAATATATTCGTGTTCACTGACACTCAAATCTCTATCCTATCCTATTAGTTAGAAAGTGATATAAAATAAAACAAAACACGAAGCTTTCTTCTGTTAATTCGATAACAGAATTCCCTAAGCTTCCAAATAACCAAATAGAAAGGTTTGTTTATGAATGTTTTTCGGAATTTGAATTGTCTTTATTCTCCAAATTAATGTTTTCAATTGTAAACCCGACATTAAGAACGTCACAAGAGAGTTTATAATCTCGAACGCATATTTGGTTGCACGAGGAAATTAAACACAGTTGAAATAGAAGAAAATCTAAAAATAAATCCCTTTTATCCTAGAATAATATGTATTTAGCTGTTCGTTTCAGTCTCATGCTTGTTTTCGTAAATAAACATTTTACCAACCATAATATTCACATGTCCTTGGTTTTTAATTTCTTTAAACATAAAAATGCTCAAAATGAAATTATAAAATTCTATTTTTCACTTGAGTACTTGAAATAATATATATTGTTCATGTCTCAACGCATAAGCTCACATTTTATCGACTGTTGATGCTGTAATATCGACTGCTACATCGGATTTTCTTGATGCTGTGATATAATATCTATATACCCTGTGTATCTCGACTAGCTTAGTTTTGTTGATACTGTGATATAATATCTATATACCCTGTGTATCTCGACTGTTAGTTCTAGTTTTGTTGATGCTGTGATATAATATATATATATACCCTGTGTATCTCGACTAGCTTAGTTTTGTTGATACTGTGATATAATATATATATATACCCTGTGTATCTCGACTGTTAGTTCTAGTTTTGTTGAGATATAATATATCTATATTTGTTGATGCTTAGTTTTGTTGATGATATAATATATATATATACCCTGTGTATCTCGACTTTTAGTTCTGGTTTTGTTGTATAATATATCTATATACTGTGATGATAATATATCTATATACCCTGTGTATCTCCACTAGCTTAGTTTTGTTGATACTGTGATATAATATCTATATACCCTGTGTATCTCTACTTTTAGTTCTGGTTTTGTTGATACTGTGATATAATATATATATATACCCTGTGTATCTCGACTGTTAGTTCTAGTTTTGTTGATGCTGTGATATAATATATCTATATACCCTGTGTATCTCGACTAGCTTAGTTTTGTTGATACTGTGATATAATATCTATATACCCTGTGTATCTCGACTAGCTTAGTTTTGTTGATACTGTGATATAATATATCTATATACCCTGTGTATCTCGACTTTTAGTTCTGGTTTTGTTGATACTGTGGTATAATATATATATACCCTGTGTATCTCGACTGTTAGTTCTAGTTTTGTTGATGCTGTGATATAATATATCTATATACCCTGTGTATCTCGACTTTTAGTTCTGGTTTTGTTGATACTGTGGTATTATATATATATACCCTGTGTATCTCGACTGTTAGTTCTAGTTTTGTTGATGCTGTGATATAATATATATATATACCCTGTGTATCTCGACTAGCTTAGTTTTGTTGATACTGTGATATAATATATATATATACCCTGTGTATCTCGACTGTTAGTTCTAGTTTTGTTGATGCTGTGATATAATGTATATATACCCTGTGTATCTCGACTTTTAGTTCTGGTTTTGTTGATGCTGTGATATAATGTATATATACCCTGTGTATCTCGACTAGCTTATATACTGTGATATAATATATATATATATACCCTGTTAGTTCTAGTTTTGTTGATGCTGTGATATAATGTATATATACCCTGTGTATCTCGACTTTTAGTTCTGGTTTTGTTGATGCTGTGGTATAATATATATATATACCCTGTGTATCTCGACTGTTAGTTCTGGTTTTGTTGATGCTGTGATATAATATATATATACCCTGTGTATCTCGACTTTTAGTTCTGGTTTTGTTGATGATGTGATATAATATCTATATACCCTGTGTATCTCGACTATTAGTCCTCGTTTCAATGTATTAGTGCTGTGATATTGTCTTAAATAGGCCATTGACTAAATAAAGATATTTTCTACGTACACTGTCCTGATTGTCTCCTGGGTTATGTAAGGCATATCTAGTTGAATAAACGATAAAACGTATATTCCCTGTGAATATCAAATATAGGTTTGTATGGTATAGGACGTTACATCTAAGGTTTTTTATGTGAACTTCCCACCACACGTGTTTCTCAGGTCATAGCACTTGGTTGACGCTTGAGAAATGGTTTTGATCACGTTCTTTTCCACTCGAGGGCTTCCATACAGGCTGAAGTGAACCGTTGTCCTATTGATTGCAGAAATTTGATTTAGATAGTTGACCTTGACTTGAAATTTTGCAATTTCTTTCAGATTAATTTAGAAATACGACGTAACATTTAAATAAATCATGTGATGTGTTATTGAGCCCTGCACACTCTATTGAGTCCTAAAGTGATTTTGTAACTGAGGTTTAAAAATAAATAGTCCTAATCACAAACTTGAACAAAACTGACATTGGAATGCAATTTTCGTGAAAATATCCATTTGGTGTAGAATCTTTATAATGATATATAGAATATTAGATATTCTGCTGAAAGCTTGAACAATCGCACTTATGATGGAATCAAAAAGATATTAGATAACTATCTCGTTTCTTAAAGAATAAGAAATATTGAATTTCTTGAATCGATAAAATTCTATGACGTGTCACACGCAAACTTGTGAAGAATTCAATATTTTTAACTTAATCATTCGTTTCGAAGGTCATCAGGCACGATTGCATGTCTCACCCTCCGTAAGAAAACGACAGCATTACTATCGTGCGTAGCTCAAGATGAATTTCAAAGACTTCAGGGATGGGAAATATTTTAAAATTTCAAATAATGAAGTATATTGTCCTTACGAGGCATTTTCATACAGCAATAACGTAGGAGTAGTACAGAAACACAATTAAGGATAATTTTACATGATCAAGGCAACGTGTTCAAAATGAGAGCCGAGGTAATAAAATCACATCACAAGTCATACTGACGAGTACCGAACACACTTGAAATTTAAACAGCTGGAGGGAATACATTTCCTCACAGGTCTGCGATGTGGACAGCCACATTTGTAAATATATTGTACCACTAAGTTGTAGATGGTAAGAAATGACATTTCAGTATTACACCGCTATATCATCATTACCATAATAAGTATGATATAAAATACCAATGAACATTGACATCCCTGGTCTGCACGATACGTGTAATATTCGCTATTTTGTTATCAATCTTGAATATCTATCATCCATGGATAAAAAAAACAGAGTTTGTTAAAGGTAAACAGTCGCTAGTGGCATCCATATGATCTAATGGTGCACGTTTCCATAAATGATAAATGAATATGCGTGCCGTCATCGATCTATCCACATTGTCTTCAATGCACTTAGCTAACCTTATATCATGTTGTTGCTTTGGCTGACGTATTTTTACCAAACTTTCAGTCTCACATCTCGCATACAGATGTAATAGTGATATCTTCAGAAATGTATTTACTATATATACACAGTATATATCAACCTAAAATGGAAATCAAAGACACAGCATATTCTTCTGAATCAGCTGTGTATCCCGATCTTTTTCTATCACGAGACCAACAGAAACAGTTTTACCACAATGTATAATCGGCGTGATGATTCCAAGTTCCTTCTTGTATATTTTTTTTCATTTTCGGAGAGCAAAAATCCTGCATATCCAATGTATGTTGTTTACATGTCGAAAGTGATTCTTGCGTCAAGGACTTGTTCTCAGTATCAAGATTTTCGTGTGAAATGTCAGGAACTGACAAATTCAAGACACATTATTTCGAAAGATGTAAGCTAATGGAAACGATGGGGAAGTTTGACTGTTGTCGTAATGATCTCTTAGAGAATATTCTATTTCTTTTTGTATTTTGAAGTTAGATGTGTTTCATGCTCGAAAGTGTAGATGTTGGTTGTTCTCATTTGAGAATGTGACATAACTATGAACTAAGTTTACATGGCGAGTGTCGTCGACGAAGCAGAATACGCTTACTCTTCCGGAACACCTGGTCTTATTCTCCTTAAACTTTTTCAGAAGTCTCCATATAATTGTCATTTTATTCGTATTTTGCCATAGTTTTATCACTTTGAATTAAGATTCTGCTGACATCTTGGTTTTATTTCACCAAACTATAAAAGGTACATTTACTATCTAACAGATAATCGTGTTATATCGACACAGAAAGAACTCCGTGCCTAATTCTGAGGACCCTCGAGCTTTGTTCTTTGTCGAACCAAAATAGATATGTGTTACGTACATCATTACAGTTTATGCCATGTAACTTAATGTGCTGCGTCTTTGATGGTAATGCATTTACTGTGTGAACACGGGAGCATATCGTCAAACAATGTAGCCATACCATATCCTTTAAGTTATAAAAGACATAGAAATAGGTTTGCGTAATCCGATGATAAACTTCGTAATATGTCATTATATAAAATGTGAAAAGTCTTTTGCGTGATGTAATCAGCTGAGAAACACGATTTATGTTAGAATCCATGCCAGCTTACAGCAAAGCCAGTGTGTGTCCAATCACAACATAAGAATTTACAGTTTGTAAAGAATATATGGAGGCGTTCCTCATAAACATCGTATGTGTAGAGCAAGGATAAGACAGATGAAAGGATAAGACAGATGAAAGGATAAGACAGATGAGAGACGAATTAGAATAAGAAAAGAAATGGGCGTTTGTCTTCGAAAGCTTGGATTCGTTTTATTACAGTAGAAAGTATTCCTTATAAAAAAAGAAGTTTTTATAACATAACCAGCAGTAGGTAGTGTTATGTTCTATTCTATTGACATTACCAACCTGAAGAAAATGTTCATAAATAGACAATATTCCTTTATTTCTTTGGATACAAAAGGAAATTAGGTATTCTGTCGATGTCCTTATGGATTAAGTTACTTATAGATCTGCAAATGTGTGATTTTTTCTTCTTTTTTTTTTCTTTTTTCGGGGGGGGGGGGGGGGGGGGGTAGGTGCCTGTTTGTTTTTTTTTTGTTTTATATTTTTTTCAAAGATAGAACAGCAAATTTGATTTTTTTTCAGCTATTATTCTTTTATATCGATATTTATTTATAGATATCAACAGGTTCATATTTCATTTTTAATGAGGCCACCGTGGTTGAAGAGCCCTGGGTTCAGCCCCGAATCAATAAGTTGCCCTTTCATAGGTGTTTTTGTCTTCTTATAAGTTTCATGTTTAGAAATGTGAAAGTATATTTGGATTTGTATATTTTTAGATTTGTAAAAGCCGTGTTACTTCGGATTTCAAAAGGTCGTGTTTATTACTGATAATGAATATATGCATATTCTCATATTTATAGAATCTATGATATTGGTGATTTGAATGTTTGTGTATTTTCAGATTTGTAGAAGCCGTAATATTGCTGATTTGTTCAGCGGCTGTTCATACGTCTGTATCCTTCAGGTCACACAAGGCGAAGAAGAAACGAGCGAAAAAGGTTCACGACAGTTGTTCGGGATGTGAAAATTATTAAAGATTTCAGCAAGTTTAAAGTGTTCGTTTGGTTACATTGTCATGTCATTTTAACACTTGAATAACATCGAGGTATTTATTACTTTTCTCATTAATCCTTAGTGTGTTCAATTACGAATTCATTATTTATTCCAAGCCTAGTCCCTACTCTGCATTTTTTCAAAATGTTTTACTCAGTTCATTAAGTTCATCGTTAGGATGAGAAATTGTAATTACCAAGTCATATCGTTAAAACAAAATGCATTTCTTTTCTTAATTTTGTCTTTTAAAACAGGTTTTAAGTAATAAAGATTGAATAACGAGGAGAGCAGGTATTGAAATATTCAAATACAAAACTAAAATGCTTATTGAACTTTTTAACTCACCTGGTCCGAAGGCAAAGAGAGCTTATACCGTGGCGCGGCGTTCGTCGTCCGTCCGTCCGTTCGGCGTCAACTTTTCCATCTAAACGACTTCTTCTCAATAAAGAATCTGGTTTGAAAGTGTTTCTAGGTCGAAACCCAACAAATTTCGAAAGAAAAGAAATGGAGTTTATTTATCATCTAAATGATAACTGTCACATTGTTTAGAACTGCTTATTGTGGAAATGAATTGAAATTAATTGAATGTGCCTACTTTGAACGACAATAGTATACATGTCAACATATCTGTGGTATTAATGCCGATTTTACACCGTATCTATTTTTGATTAACATTTAATACAAGATGAGCGCTGCAGGCCCGTTGGGCCTCTTATTTTTTTTTACAATCTTGTTTGCTGCGATTTAAGACTGCATGTTTTAGGGCCTCATGGAAAAAGGAAATAAAATTTGTATTAAACGCAATAGAAAATCAATTTAATAACGTTGAAATAATATCAGAAGACAGCTATATATTACCATGAATTTGAGGCTGATAAATAAGGCAGACATAAATGCATTTGAACACTGTCGTATTTACTCATCACATATTTGCACGAAAGAAAGTCTCCGCTTTTGTTACATAATGTAGTAGACGCAACGCATACTATTTATTTTCTTGTTTGTACATTCCTGTGCAGCACGTAAATCATGATCTATAAATTTCGTGTCTTGCATCGAAAGTCAGTTAAGCCGAAGCAAGAACTTGTACACAACATTATAACAAAACATTTTTGTTATATTGTGTTAATCATCAGCATCCATATATTGTTTGAAGCATTTTTAGTTGACAGAAGCACTTTAAGTATTAGATAACAAAATATGCTATTATGATTTCTGTAGGGAGTCCCTCTCGTGGTTAACCATTTCACCACTATTGATTTACCCTGTCAGGTAAACATTTTACCATGTCAGGTAATCATTCTATCCTGTCAGGTAAACATTTTACCCTGTCAGGTAATCATTTTACCCTGTCAGGTAATTATTTTACCCTGTCAGGTAAACATTCTACCCTGTCAGGTAAACATTCTACCTGTCAGGTAAACATTCTACCCTGTCAGGTAAACATTCTACCTGTCAGGTAAACATTCTACCTGTCAGGTAATCATTTTACCCTGTCAGGTAATCATTCTACCCCTCGACCTCCCTTTTCTCTTACTTGATCAGGTCCCCAGTACTTGTAACGTTGTCAGTGTTGCTGGTTTCTGTTTCGGGTAAAATATTTCAGATCCCGGCAACACTCTAAATTACACCTGTATACCTTGGTTATTCAAAAAAGTGTCTATACTTCCTTAAAAATGTTAGATAATCATTCCTGTGTTTACAAATACGATGCATTAGTTGTTTCTGGGATTTTGGTGTCATTTTACAAGTGAATCAAATTAATTATGTTTAATATATTTATCACATAACTGCATTGTTTACAGTGTAATTATACCAATTAGATAACATTTTGCTGTTACACATCATTGATATGACCTAGCAGGACTGTAATTGGTTGAATGATGTCATTGTTTCAATTGTGACGTAATTCATATGTTAGTTCATGACGTCATAGGAATGTTGATGATGCAAATGAAAGAGTTATGGAATTATGGAGTGAGAATATTACCAGTGAAGATTTTTTTTTATCAGTCAAATAAAATACTGTAATTCACGAATGTTTGCGAGAGTATCAAAGTTATGAGATAAATAGAATCTTTCATTCGTGATCATTTTATATGAGAGTTATGAAACTTTTCATATTGCCTTGACTCGGTAAGATTCTCTGACGCGTTTCGTAAATTCCATATTAGGGGTAATTACTGTCAGATTCTCGAATTTTTTTTATGTCATAAAATTACCAAGATGTCATTGTTCTTTTGAAGTATGTTCCCTGTGTTTTAACATATCGATGTACCATGGTATGTGTTATTAATAAATATACACGTGTAACTCACTGATATATCTTATCTATCGTTGTAATCAAACAGAAATAAGTACACATAACACAAAAATTATCATGGATCTGTTATATAGTGTTGAAAGAAATATATGATTTTAAGTGTCAGCGTCACAAACATGACGTCACACATAAATCTAACTGATTGTGATGTATGTATATCTATTCAAACAAACTAATGTATTTTGTGATATATTTTCGATCTAAATTATATAAGATTATGATAATATTATCCTTAAAACAATTCTAATGGACATTTTTCACATTTTTTCACCTAATACGTACTTAATATACAAATTTACAAACAACAAATTGTAAACATTGTACCTGTTATATACAAAGTCACAAAAATACAGCGTAAACATTGTACCTGTTATACACAGTCACCAACAACACAGTGTAAACATTGTACCTTTTATATACAAAGTCACAAACAACACAATGTAAACATTGTACCTGTTATATACAAAGTCACAAAAATACAGCGTAAACATTGTAACTGTTATACACAGTCACCAACAACACAGTGTAAACATTGTACCTTTTATATACAAAGTCACAAACAACACAATGTAAACATTGTACCTGTTATATACAAAGTCACTAAAATACAGTGTAAACATTGTACCTGTTATATACAAAGTCACAAACAACACAGTGTAAACATTGTACCTGTTATATACAAAGTCACAAACAACACAGTGTAAACATTGTCACTGTTATACACAGTCACCAACAACACAGTGTAAACATTGTACCTGTTATATACAAAGTCACCAACAACACAGTGTAAACATTGTACCTGTTATATACAAAGTCACAAACAATACAGTGTAAACATTGTACCTGTTATATACAAAGTCATCAACAACACAGTGTAAACATTGTACCTGTTATATACAAAGTCACAAACAACACAGTGTAAACATTGTCACTGTTATACACAGTCACCAACAACACAGTGTAAACATTGTACCTGTTATATACAAAGTCACCAACAACACAGTGTAAACATTGTACCTGTTATATACAAATCACAAACAATACAGTGTAAACATTGTACCTGTAATATACAAAGTCATCAACAACACAGTGTAAACATTGTACCTGTTATATACAAAGTCACCAACAACACAATGTAAACATTGTACCTGTTATATACAAAGTCACCAACAACACAGTGTAAACATTGTACCTGTTATATACAAAGTCACCAACAACACAGTGTAAACATTGTACCTGTTATATACAAAGTCACAAACAATACAGTGTAAACATTGTACCTGTAATATACAAAGTCATCAACAACACAGTGTAAACATTGTACCTGTTATATACAAAGTCACCAACAACACAATGTAAACATTGTACCTGTTATATACAAAGTCACCAACAACACAGTGTAAACATTGTACCTGTTATATACAAAGTCACAAACAATACAGTGTAAACATCGTACCTGTTATATACAAAGTCACAAACAATACAGTGTAAACATCGTACCTGTTATATACAAAGTCACAAACAACACAGTGTAAACATTGTACCTGTTATATACAAAGTCACCAACAACACAGTGTAAACATTGTACCTGTTATACACAAAGTCATAAACAACACAGTGTAAACATTGTAACTGTTGCACACAGTCACGGACAATGATTATCTAAAACTGTTATTTTTGTTTAAACCTCCACATGTTTCTCGTTTTGCTGTTTCATTAATCTTCGGAAAAAAATATTTTTACGAACACAGACGAAACAGCATCTCGTCATAAAATAAATATATGTGCACCAGTGATATTTCGTCACAATGTCTTGGTTTTGTTTTTGTTTTTTTTTTCTTTTCTTAGAGTTGTGCATCAATGATGACACGTCTCACTATATTTCTCTTTGTGGTGTAAGGGAGGCTACTCCTTCAACACTTTCATTATTTATTTTAAGTGTATGCATTTTTACATTATTAACCATATATTTATTCCATAGGATATACAAGGGTAGATGACAGTGTTATGAACTTTTTCGTTATATTCCAATCATGGTATTTATTTTCTTTTTCAAATCACTGCGATAAAGATTAGATATAAGAATTGATAGAAGTTGTAAGGAACTAAATTATTTACAACAAACATACACCGACGAAACTCCTTGCTTTCAAAACTATCAAATAATTATCATTGGCAAAAATTAAGATCAGATTATGATAGTGTTGTTTTTACTTTATTCAGAATAAATAACATACTCATCAAATAGTGAATAAGCTGAAAGGTATTATAATAATACAGAAATAGATGTTATCATTCACAAAACATTTACTACCAATAATGGCTGGCAATAATGTTTGGTTATAATTGAGACTAGAATCTGTCTTGGTGGTTTTGTGTATGGATTGCAGCACAGTGTCCATCCACACTCGCTGTTCCGTGCCGGATCCGTACTGCTTACTGTCCACCCACACTCGCTATTCCGTGCCGGACCCTTACTGCTTACTGTCCACCCACACTCGCTATTCCGTGCCGGATCCGTACTGCTTACTGTCCACCCACACTCGCTATTCCGTGCCGGACCCTTACTGCTTACTGTCCACCCACACTCGCTGGACCGTGCCGGATCCGTACTGCTTACTGTCCACCCACACTCGCTATTCCGTGCCGGACCCATAC